TTACATGCATGCCATCACAGCCCACTTAGGTGAATTCATGTTTATTATTATTATTATTATAATCGGGTGAAAGTAGTCTTTCGATTTTTATTTTTAAAATTCAAGTTTTTAATAAAAGTAGTTATTTATTTATTTGTTATTATTGTCCTATTTATTTATTTGTTTTATGGTGTGAATAAATCATTGTTCTATTTATTTTATTTTTGCAATAGGAGGAAGGAAAGGAACTCTACCTGTGGAGATTTGCTCAATACTCAAACTTGAATTTCCCTTTTTGTAATTCAAGTTTTTAATAAAAAAAATATTAATTTATTTATTTTCATGATAGGAGGAACGAAAGCCTATGTGTGTGGATTGGCTCAATACTTGAATTTGGTGGGAATAACCATACATCACACCATAACTGCATCAATTAGTATGGTGTAAGAAGAAGTTCCACCCTTTTTCACTAATCAATTGAATTTTTCTTTGAAATGATTTCTTATAATTTGTTGTTTTTTGTCTTAATTTTTTTTTTTTAATTTATGGACAGGGCGGTCAAAAGGTCAAGCTGCTTCCTTCGCCATGGTCACTACGCTTCGAACAACCCTTTCATGATAATCTTTGCTTGTATTCAGATCCTTTTGAGCCAAATCCTCAACTTCCACAAGCTCCCATGGCTGTCAATCCTCTCCGCCATCATGTGCTTAGCTTCTACGTCCACTGGACTTGGTCTCTCCATTGCCAAAGTCGCAGGTAACTTAAAAAACAAAATGCTCCTGGCGTATCCGGCTAATTGGAAAAGAACACTTTTCCTATATAGCCCCAAATTTGGGTTTCAAATCCTCTCTCCCCACAAATTGTTCTTGTTAAGAAAAAAAAAATCATCTCTTATTTATAGCAATTATATAAGTAGATATTTCAGTTTAGTTTTATACTCAAAGTGCAAACAAACACAAACAATTTACGCTAAGAATCGCCAATAATTTAAATCACTCAATAATAATTTTTTCTTCAATTCCTATGAAAATAAGAGATCTAAGTTAAGTCATTTGGATGAAATAAGTTAAAAATTAAATGATAATTATCTCTTATTAGGTAATTATAATTTTTTTTATAAAAATATTCATCTAAGAGTTTAATTTGACATGTAAACTTTAATATAATATTTACATCTAATTTAATTAAAATCAATTAATACTAAATAAAATAATATTTTTTA